TTGAAACGTTTCAAGTGCCTGTGATCTCGGCACCTGCATCAGTGACAGTACTGTCAGTAGGCCCCTATGCACATGGCTAATTTTGAACGAGTTAATTGATTTACTTGGCCTACTACTACTATCTCTTAATAACGTGTCCCTTCCGATACACAGGAATTACTTAACCATAAAACCTAATAGTAAATACCTATTTTTATAGTTTACTTTGATCTGTCATTTTCACACGTAATGAACTCAAATAACATGTACAACATACAACAAGCTCCTTGGTGTAGACTAGACTGGTACTCGCTCCCACCTCGATTACTCGATTACTCGAAGTACCCTAACCCTAACCCTAACCCTAACCCTAACCCTAAGCCGAGAGGTGGGACCGAGTACCAGTCTAGGTGTAGACTAGAGTAGTTACTTGCTGAGCAGAGGTTTTATGTATTTAAAGAAAATGCGCATGTTTATTACAATATTCAAATGCAAGCGATAGCAATGTGTTTATTTAATAAATTTTAATTTGCATTTTATAAATAATATGTTATTATAACGTATCTAGTTATATTCGAATAATTTAGTTGATAAATGTGTCGATAAATGTGAAAATATTCCTCGGGTAGGCTTAGATTTGACAAGATGGCGGCTTCCTTGCAACAACAACAAGATCAACAACGTGTGTTTAGGGAATCTGTCTGTAAGCTTATGGATGGCTGGGCCGCCTTGCAAGTAAGGGTTGTGTTATTACGACGTACAGTATAGCCTACAACCCACATAGTGTTAAGCAACAACAGTACCATACCTCACCCACCCGGCGCATTGCGTAGCCTGAGGCTGTACTGTGTAATACAGTGTACTGTGTAGTGTGTGTTGACTGTTGTACACAGTACAATACAGTAGTGAGTACAGTAGGGCACGAAGGGTCGTTGTCGTATCAGGTACTACATATATGTACCCGAGGTAGTTTTAGGTTGTTTAGTATTACGTTTATATTTTTATATGAGGTATATGTTTAGGGTTGGGGTTAGGGTAAACCGACCAGGCTCTCCGACTAGTTACACGGCGGAGGAGCCTGACACCCTTCCATACGAAATACCTGGTAGCTTGAAAACAAACTCCTAATTTCGTAAAATTTTGTAAATAAAACAATGTATTACCACATTTGACCTCACCTGTTACATCATGTACAACTATCGCATCATTTCTTAATTACTATTTACCTTGAAATACACGTTAAAATAAGAGAATTTCGAACAGCGCTATAATATTTGAACGTTGTAAAACGCCATACTGGATGTTCTTATGTCTATGCGCGAAATACTAAGCGAGATTCGCCACGAACTTTCGCTACGTATTATGGGATATCTATTGAAAAATGGCGGAAATGGCGGCGTTTGTTCGGAGTTTCATCTTATCAATTCTAATAATTGCTTGCTGACACGTAAATACACACTCAGTGATAGCGCACATATAATAAATCGAGGCGTGGAAGTACAGAGAAGCAATAAGAATCATAAAAAGTGAGATAATTTAACGTTAAATAGCAGCGCACATACTACCGAACATATTTCTAATGCGTCGGTTTGTGACCCTCTCGCCACGTAGTGTTAAGCGAGATGGGAACTTGTGGCTAGTATATTATATGCGTGTGTTTTCACCTCTACGGAATGACTTTTAGCAATTATTGTTGACGTTCGTAAGCGA